TTCGTTTTGGGAATTTGATGGGGATGGGATGAATCCAATGGTTTTTTGTTTGTTTGTTTAGTCATTATTTCGTCAGATTTTTGCTCTCTACTTGCTTCGCGAGCTGGAATGAACAATTTTTTTTTTGAACTGACCATCTTTTTTGGGATTTGGGGTTTTTACCGCGATCCTGAAGTAATTTATCAACGCCTTCTTCTAAACTAGGGGGTTTCTTTGTTCCCATGTTTATTGTGAGATAAAGAAGATACCAGTTTAAGGAGAAATTGAATCGGATATTATAAGAGTGAAAAATCAAAAGCACGAGCATTTAATTGGAGGTCGGTGATGGTGCAAGTTTGTTGTTCATTGATGCGAACCTTCTTGCTATTAAAATCCCCCTTCACACCCACACAGACTTCTGGATTGGGTTAACTTAAGGAAGCTGAATAATTGTGTTCGGCAAAACTTCAAATGCTTGAATAAAGAATGCTTGAATTTGGCTTTGGATACCTTAACATTTGCAGGTTCAGATTTTTTTTTTCTTAGCAGCTAAATCTGTTACTTTAGAATGAGATACGACATAAATATGGATCTTACTTTCTTAATTCAATTTCCCTTCCTCATTATGTTGGCTCAGTAATACTCATTCATTTGAATATTACTTTTCATGACTTGTGACACTTAAGTTTGTTTCCAATACCGCGGGCCCTCATTGTCTAGGTTTTCTAGATAACAAAACATGGCTGAGCACCATGCTTCTGTGGAGGCAGATGAGCAGATTGACCTTGATGGTGACAATGACATTGAAGACATGATGGATGATGAAGATGCTGGAGATGAAGATGGATACAGGAGAGTAAGGGATGAGTACAATGAAGAAGAGCAGAATGATGAATACCGTGAAGAAGAAGAAGATCACGAATCTGAAGGTGAAGGCGATGATAAAGTTTCATCATCTGATGAGTTAAATAATACTTCTAGCCCTTTGAAGGATGAAGAGACAACTAAGAGAACAATTGATGAGGAAGAAAGGCAGAAGCATTATTGCTCAACTACTAATTTATGGGCTAAGCTCGTGGATTGACTTTTGGGTGGGTATTAATTTGAAATTCTTTTTTTTTGGGACATTTTAATTTGAAATTCCGTTTGACTTTAACAAATTAATTAATTCAATATTGTTGAGAAATATTATTAGTTGGTACGTACGATATTAGGTTTGGATTTAATATACCGAACCAACAAATGACTTCGAAATCTCATGTATCACCCTCTTATTAGTGAATATTTACGAAAATATTCTGTAGACAAATCCTTCTTCTCGTCTTCTCTAGTCTTCTTCGTGGCAACATTTGGTAATTTTCTCCATTGTCGGTGTCACTTTAATTTAAATGAACGTAGACTCTGCGGATTGCGGAAGTCGAGCAATCTACGGTCGGCCAATCCCAACCATTGCCGCCGTTTAACGCTTCGAGAACCAGGTCGGGTTTTCCGGCCGGGCTTCGTCCTTCTCTTTCTAAAGTCAGGGTAAGCCGAGGAAGGTGAGAGAGAGAGAGATTGCGATCAGATCTCTGAAACGGAATGGCAATGTCTAGCTCTTGCTGCAGAGTGGCATCGCTTCTCATTCTCCAGCTCTTTGTGGCGGCTTTTATAATATCCCCGGTGACGGCGGAGATCCGCGAGACGAAGGTGAGATCTGACGCCAGGACGATCATCCCCTTCGACGAGTTCGGATTCACCCACTTTGGGGTTCTTGAACTCAACGTCTCTGGCATCTCCCTTTCGGATACTAGCCCCGATCTCGATCTCTCTCAACTAGGGTTCTTTCTCAGCACTCGCGGCGCCTGGATCCATGTCCTGCAACAGATTCAGGAACTAGGCGTCACCTGTGCTCTCCAATCTGACCTGTTCGACGTTGTTTACACCTTTAACCATCTCCAGGCCGCCGTCCCAGCCGTTCGCCTGACCAGCTTTGGCTCTATCTTTAACGTAACCAATCCGGGGCAGTACACCCTCCTCTTCGCCAACTGCATCCCTGAGCTTCACGTCTCAATGTCCGTCAAGTCTGTCATGTACAACGTCGAGCCCCGTTCCGGCCGCCGCGTCTACCTTTCAGCCGGGTCAGCCGTCCTCCCCTTCGTTTACTTCATTTTTTTCCTCGCCTACTGCGGCCTTGCGGCACTTTGGGTCTCTGTTTTGGTTCGCAAGCGGCTGACCACTTACCGTATCCACTATTTCATGCTCGCCGTTGTCATCCTCAAAGCGCTTAATCTTGTAAGCGAGGCTGAAGACAAATCGTATATCGAGCGAACTGGCAGCGCCCATGGATGGGACGTTCTCTTCTATATCTTTAGCTTCTTGAAGGGGATTTCCCTTTTCACGCTCATCGTTTTGATTGGAACTGGTTGGTCCTTCCTCAAACCATATCTACAGGACAAGGAGAAAAAGGTTCTCATGGTAGTAATCCCTCTCCAGGTCGTCGCTAACATAGCTCAAGTGGTGATCGATGAATCTGGACCTTATGCCCGAAATTGGGCTACGTGGAGGCAAGTCTTCCTTCTTGTTGATGTCATTTGCTGCTGCGCAGTTCTCTTCCCTATTGTCTGGTCCATTAAAAACCTTCGGGAGGCGGCAAGATCGGATGGCAAAGCTGCTGTTAACCTGATGAAGCTTACACTTTTCCGACAATACTATGTTGTAGTGATCTGCTACATCTACTTTACCCGGGTTGCTGTGTATGTGCTGGCTACGATTACATCTTACAGATATCTTTGGACTAGTGTGGTTGCAGGGGAGCTTGCCACCATTGCTTTCTATATATTTACTGGGTACAAGTTCAGGCCTGAGGTTCACAATCCATACTTTGTGATTGATGATGAAGAAGAGGAGGCTGCTGTGGAGGCTTTCAAACTTGAGGACGAATTTGAATTGTGAGGTTAGGAATAGAGGATGATTAGTAATTGAACTTTTCTTTTTCGCACATAGTTATGATACTGTAGAACTATTCTACCATGGAAAGCCGAAACAGCACGTAATCTTTATAGTGTCTTGTTTTTTTTCTCTCTCTCTCTTTTCCCTACTTCAAAGTGGTCTCTTGTTTAACTTATCAGATGTAACTTATATATGGTCTTGTACATCCTTTATTAATCTTTCTTCTGGAGAATTTTCCTTCAAGAAATTTGAAGTATTTCAGATTTTCTCTCAGAAATCAGGAAAGAGTTCTAGCCGTTATTGTTGGGAAGAAAGAAATGGAAGAGGAACTTTAGCCTATATTCCAGCAAGGCTTGGCCGTGAGAGAGAGAGGCGAGAGGCTTCTTTGATGTTGCTACAGCAAAAAGAATCCAGCCGAAACTGGACAGCAACTCTTCTTCCAACACAGCAGCTAGAGGTCTTCCAAGGGCTGAAGAAGAATGGTGGACAGCAGCTTTTCTCTTCCAGATCAGCAATTTCACGTTCCAAACCTTCTTAGCAAGAGGTATCAAGTGCTTGAACTGCGGAACAGCAACTATGAGAAGTCTGGACAGCAACGGATTGACTTCTGGGGCTGACCAGCTAGTGTAGAACTGCAGATTTCTGCTTGACAGCAATTTACCAATTTCCAGAAGTCTGGACAGCAACCTGGCTCAGGAAAATAAACAGATTTTCAAGGACTTTTGGGGAAAACAGAGTGGTGTAAGGGATTAGGAGTTCCCTTGCAGCTCTCCTTTCTCTGAAATTAAGTTAGAGAGCTAGGGAGAGAGAGATACGGTGGGAGCAGGCTGGCAGCAAGAGAGGGGGGGAGGGGAGAAAACGTGGAGAGGATTGAATTGCTTGACTGGCTAATAAATTTTAATTAAGACGGGTTGGAGGAAATTATGCTCAATTTGAATTTGAACGGGGCTTAATTTTAGGAGTTAATGAGGGAGTAATAATGGCTAGAACTAATGAGAGAGAGAGGGAGGAGTGGGTCGACCTATAGGAAGGAGGGGAAATTAGGTCCACATTCAATGAATGTGGAGCACACAATGAATTGTAATTAATGCCTAAATCTGAGAATTAATCTCAGATTTAAGGTGATGGAGGGATATTTCCTTCAAGGCTTAAGCATAAATAGAAAGCATTTGAAATTCAAATTATTTTGAATTTGAATTCAAATCCTTTCCTAAAATTTAAGGAGCCCGAATAAGAAAAGAGATAATGGGGAGGGAATTAAGGAGGCTTTAATGCTTCCTTAATTTAGGGGGTTGAATTTAGAATGAATTGAATCATCCTAATTAATTCAAAATCCAATGGAAGGAAAATTTGAAAACTTTTCAAAAATAGATTTGATATTTTAGGAAAGTTTTTTTGAATTTCAAATTGAACAAATTTGAATTCAAAATTCTGTCCCAAAATACTTTCATCCAAATTAGGCAAGGGTTTTAAGGGGGATGAAGAGGTGGACGGTGGCCGGCGGCTAGAGGATTGGGCCGGCGGTGTGGAGGGGTCGGGTGGGATGTTGGTCGTGGGTGTTGGACGGGGGAAAAAGAGGGGGTTTTCGGGTGAGGCTAGAATCCGGCGGCCAAACGAAGATGGGGAGGAGGAAGAAGATGAAGATAACGACGAATAGCAATAAGAATGAACAAAAGCAAATAAACAAAATATCAAAGATACAACCGCGAGCCCGGACACATCCTGCGGCTGACGGGTACTACGTTGCCCTTCTCCAAGAGACTTCACGCCACGAGCCCGGACCCATCCTGCGGCTGGTGGAAACTCCGACTCTCTCCCATAGGGATTTCACTAACGTTCTTCTCAAAGAACTCAAGTGCAAAACGCAAATTTTTTTTATTAATAATCCATCATCCTAATACAAGAGAAGGGGCCTCTATATATAGGCCTCAAAAGAAATTAAAAGACACATTTGCCCCTTGGGCTTACATAGACAAGAGGGTAAAAAAGGAAATTGCAAAACTAAATTAAAATACACTTAATAAATGAAAATAAAACAAAGTGATCTCCGTCGTCGATCTTCAGTTCCTTGGATTTGCATGGACGGTTGGATGTCCGCATCACTATGCCAAAAAAAATTCGATGCGGGATTTGCCGAAGAAACGCGCAAAAGAGGAGAAAAGCTCTCCAAAGGTGATTACCTTCACAAGAAGTATGCAAACAAAGAAGAAATGACGTTCAATTGACGAAAAATGATTGCATTTTAGAGTGGAAAATGATTTTTCGGTTGGAGATGCCCTAATCATGATCTACCTTTCTTCTTGTACCATAATTCCTGGGTTTTTCTTCAAGGAATATTATATGTGAAGGTAACCACCTTTGGAGATCAAGTTGCTTCAAGTAAGGAATATTATATTTTTCTTTTTGTGTTAACATTTGCCTATGCTGGTTGTGCAGAAAACGTCTGTCACACACACACACACAGAACAGTAGCACAAAGGAAAAAATATTAGCATAAAATAGGTTCAAGGCTTTCAGTGATTCTTGGGTTTCTTTTGATTTATGTACTTTTTTTTTTTTTTTGAAGAAAATGAGGGCAGAAGCCCATTATTACCATGAAAAAAGAAGTTACAAGTAAAGGTATACCAAAAAGGTTTCAAACCTCTAAATTATGAGGGTAAAAACGCAAAACACCTATACCCCCCAGAGACAAGAATAAAAAAAGAGAACTAAAGTAAAACAAATCCAGCAAAACTTAGAATGCGAAAAGCATCTAAAGGACTCAGACTGGCTAAATCGCAAATAACTTACTGAAACCGGCAGCCACGACACGAAAATCTCCTGGTTGCCCAAATGAAAGGCCCTCCAAGGAGATGATAGCCAGCTACATTCATCGTCCTTAGCACAGAATTCGAAACAACCAGTAATCCAGCCAATGTGACATCCGACAAATCATCAAGATGAATGCCCAGTAAACACCAAATCCGCAATACAGCACCTCAACCGAATTCCTTAATCATGCCAAGGAATTCTAAAGCTTCTCTGAATTCTTCCAGTTACCAATTTTTGCATCAATGGCGCTTTAATGGTCAAGGAAAGAAGAAGAGGAACATCTAAACTTCCCATTGAACCCCTTTGATTCCTTTCTCTCCAATATGGTAAGATGAACAACTCACAAGTGAGCAAAAGAAATTCTTTTGATTTTTTATCATATAATTCTGCTCACCCAACAATTGTAAGACTTGGTTTAGCCTTGGCCTTAACAGAAAGTTTCCCACCATAGGAATGAGGGATGCAGCACCGTGAAAGCATAATCGCATTCAAAGAAAAGATGTCCAATTGTTTTCATCATGAGCAAAACAAAGAGAACAAATAGAGTTAACCACAATATTCCTTTTAATGAGCTCCTCGCTGTTTTAAGGCCATTGTTAAGAGCTAACCACAATGAGAAAGAATATCTCAAAGCAAAACTCTTATGCCAAACCAGATTAAACCAATCCACCTTAATCACATCTCTATGATAAAAATTGATAAAGGAGAAAAACCTTTTATCTCTACCTTCCATAGTAATGTGTCTTTAGAGCCATGAATAAAAGGAACTTGTTGAAGAGCAGAAATGCAAGAAACAGGAAATACCATAGGCAGCGTCCAGACATCATCTCTCAAATAATCAGAAATCTTGGCATGAATAAGGGCAATAATTGATTAAATTATGTACGCGCAAATTCAAGCATAATATTATTTCCAAAAAACCATGGATCCCAAAGAAAAGAAATTATGCTGTTCAATTAAGAGCAAAAACCAAATGTTAGGCTTTATATCTGAAAAGCCGTCTTCTCATATCACTCCAAGACAAGAGGCTTTGCTCAGAACCGGAGTCCAGGGGGTACCATATTTGGCATTTAAAAACTTAAATAAACATGGAATTGGAATTATAAAATCTCAAACCAGAGAGCAACAGTTAGCAAATTGTAAACTAGCTTAAGTCCGGACTGCCAGGCCACCAAAACTTGGGTCTGCACGTTTTTTCCAAGCTATCAGAAAAAGTTTTCTGGCTTCCACATCCCCAAAGTAAAAGAACCTAGAGCACATCCTACTAAGACTCTTGATGCAAGTTTTTGAAAATAGTTCCTCTAATCCAGTAGGTAATGGTATTGGCAGACCGTGTATTATATAAATTGAAGTCTACCCGCAAACGACAGCAGTCTTTGCTTTCCAACAGCAAGATGGTTAGAAATAGTATTCAGAAGAGGTTGCAAATCAAGTTTTACATAATTTTTTAACAGAAATGGAATACCAAGATAGTCATTTTTTCCCATGCGACGAAATGCTAAGAGCTCACAAAAATCCCTTGGGTTTCTTTTGATTATGTACTTTTTTTTTTTTTTTTGATATTAGTGTAGAAAGGCTTTTCAGTGATGGATTGGGTTTCCTTTGTTTATGTGCTATTTTTTTTTTTTTTTTTTTTTTTTTTTGTGGTAAATTTAGGGCAACACCCATTGATATACTTAAATTTTGGTGGCAAATTGAGGGAAACACCCATTTAAGTCACAATATGTTTGGCTTTGGCATTTAAGTCGCAATTTAATGGGTTTTGATCAAGAAGTTCAAAACAAATGACTTAATTTTTCTCCAAATTGGAGAATGCTAATTAGAAGCTTTCATCGCAACTTTGAATCTTTGAAGTTTGTTGTAGAGAGAAATGATGTGATCACCATTAATATCAGGAGTTTAAAATGGATGAAGAAGGTTCTTAAAGAGTGACATTCTTGACCAATAGTTCTTAAATCAAAATATGTGCCTTTTTTCCGAATGATGATCAGTGTGAATTAGGGGTGCAAACGAGTCAAGCCGACTCGCGAGTCGGCTCGGACTCGACTCGGTAACTGACTCGACGAGTCGTGCTTATCGAGCTCGCGAGTCGAGCTCGATTGGCTTATCGAGCTCGAGCTCAAACAGATCTCCGACTCGACTCGTCGGCTCGGCGAGTAGCTCGAGTGCGTGACTGGGCGGGAAAAAAATTTGCGTAGCTACGAGCGGGATAATGAATGAAGGTCGGGCGGACAAGACAACGACGATGGGACTCGACGGACAAATGGCGGACGCTGGATCTCGACGGCGGACGCGACGACGAGCTTGGGACTCGACGGCGACCGCGACAATGAGCTCGAGACTCGACGGTGAACGCGATGGAGAGCTCGGGATGCTAGATCTCAACGACGAACGTGATCTTGGCG